CAGATTAAGGCAAAGACCAATGCGACCTGAGCTTTCATTCCCCACCCAGACATCAGCCACTCCCGTCCTTTGGTTCTTTGCCCTCTCGATTGTTCCATGCCCTTTCCCGACTGGATGTTTTCCAGTGTCTATTTCTCTTGGTTTTTAGTGGCACCGTCAGAAGCAGGTTCATTCCTTTTTGGGCTCAATGCAGGGTGACCAGTCTCAGCCTCCCAGGGGCTCTTTCCCAGAGTGGGCTCAGCAATGGCAGGTCTCTGGCTTCCATCACTACCATAGAGCCTCTGGTCCACCTTGGGCCCCACTCTCCCTGACCACTGTGTGTCCCCAGGAACCCTGGGCCCTCCCACAAGTCTCCCTAAGGTCTGCCACACCTGGGGGCGAACTTTCTGGGCAAGCAGCACATCCAGCCATCCAGCACAGTCATAGGGTCTCGTTCAGGGGCCAGCATGGAGGACCCCAGAAAGTGGCAGGTGAAGCACCAGCCCTGCACCATGGCCGTCAGGACTTTTCTCTGTCTGTTGGTGAAGTCCTCCATGAATAAGTTGGGGAGAGCTCCCTTGGCAGCTCCTTCTACAGCAGGGATGGCCACATTCCTCGTCCCTCAGGCAGGCTCTCCCGCCAGTTGCAGGAGTCTGGTAGGGCTGGAGGGGCTCATCCTGATGAAAATATGCAAGAAAAAAGTCCTCAGGAAATCATTAGAAAATGACATCCTTGCAAGTCAGTCTGACCACCCACTCCTCTAGTGCCGATGACCCTGCTGTGGCAGAGGTGGCACAATCCACAGTCTCCCTCATTATACTGGTCACTCCATGGCATGAAGGGCGTAGACTCTGGAGCACCAGGAGGGACTGTCTCCTTACCTGCCAAGTGGAACACCCTTTTTGGGGAAAAACCACTGCCCCATTTGATTATCCACCGAGTGCTCCATCATCCCCGTCCCATGGCCAGTGTTACTGGGCAGGCTGGCAGCTAGCCTCCACCCTTTTTGAGGATAAATTCCTGATCCCTCTAAAACCATGGGGGATGGCAGTGTCATGGGGCCCACACTGCCCACGTTTGTAGTTCCAACAATCTGGCTGGGGAATATTGAAAGGACATCCTGCCTGGGCACCGTGGCTCACGCCAATTATCACAACTCTTTGGGAGGCTGAGACAGGAAGATTGTTTGAGGCCAGGAGTTTCACACCAGGCAAGAGGAAGACTCTTCTTACTCCATTTCTACACCCATAATCTTGTGAAATAAAAATAAAAGTAGCTTGAAATGAGATAATGCAAATCATGAATCAGAATTTGCAATGAAATCAAGATTATATTTAAAGGAAAAACTGATGGATATTCTCTTGTTATATATTATTTATTATATATATATATATACTTTTCAGACAGAGGTCTCAAAATTGCCTTGGGCTAGAGTGCATGTTTGTTAGTCTAGCTCAACAGAACTCAAACTTCCTTGGGCTAAGCTATCCTTCTCTCTCAGATCCTGAGTAGTGGGGACTACAGGCATGTGGCCACCATGCACCGGGCTAAATTTTTTCTACATATTTTAAGTTGGTAATTAATTTTCTTTCTATTTTTGTAGGAGTGGGCGGTCTCGCTCTTTGCTCAGGCTGGTTTTGGAACTCATGACCCCATTGAATGATACTCTCACCTCAGCCTCTCGGGGATTCTCGGTCATCCTGAGCTTCCTACCAGAGACTGGCTGACGGTAGACATTGGGATGTTTTATGGAGGTCACTGACTGACCAGGACTGACTTCAGTTCAGGTGCTGGGGCCTCAGGAAGACGGCAAGCAGTCACTGTAGTCTGCAGGGCTTGGCCTCTCCTTTGGATATTCAGGAGCGTTATATGACTTTTCACTCATTCTTCCCCTTTCACCTGAACAGCTTCGCAATAAGAATTGTGGGGTGGTATTTTTATATGATTCCTAAAGAATCCCCCGCTCCCCTGATGGACTTTTTGGCTTTCTCATATTTGCTTCCTGAATCGATTCATGGAAAGTGGAAAGAATTAGGGGTGGGTCTGAAGTCAAAAATTCATTTGGACCAGGGCTGGGCATGGGTGGTCAATTTCCTTGTAATCCTAGCACTCGGAAGGCCAGGAGGGATCCCTCAGGTCAGGGATTGAAACGCCTGAGCAAGAAGCGAACCTTCATCTCTACTAAAATGGAAAGAATTAATTGGACAACTGAAATATATAGAAAAATTAGTCAATGAATGGTGGCACATGCTGGTAAAGTTCAGATCGTGGAGACAGGCTAGAGACAGAATAAATGATTTGGCTTTGTGTGCTCAGTGAGGAAATAGTAGGTGTACAATATTATTGAGAATCAATAAATGAGCAATTACTGGGTGGGATTTTAGGTGTACATTGCACAGGTGATGCAGTCACTAATCTGGCTGTTTAGGTGCCATGAGTATAATGTAAAATGGAATAGCTAGAACACCATGGTTATATTCTTGAAAAAAGCTAAGACATTTAAAATGAATGAAGTAAATATGGCAAAGTGTTGAATGTTCAATATTTATGAAAATATATTTTAGGAGATAAATAAATTTTTATTGAATAGATTAAGGGCTACAGGTGTTTTTGTCAGATGTGGATGATATGTATAATGCTGGAAATCGGCTTTAGTGTAAGATCACTGGAGTGTGTTATTGTACCGATAGGTAAATTTTTATTATTTGTCCTCCACTTTCCCTTGGTG